AAAAAATGGCAACTAAACTTTCCACAGAATTATTGATTATGATTTTAAATAATGTTCAATCAACTCGTTCAACTCAAGACATATATTCATCATTATTAGTCAATCGATTCTGGTGTAAAGTTACAATACCTATACTTTGGAAATTACCTTTGGGTCAAGATTATATTTTGAAAAAAGAATTATGTATTCGAACTTATATATCATGTATGAATACTCAAGCTAGAACTTTACTTATTCAAAATGGATTTGATTTATCATCATCACCGCCTCAAGCTACTTTTAATTATCCATCATTCACTCATAAATTTATAGTTAATAATTTAGATTATTTTATTTTCAAGTATTCACAACAAATTATTGGTTCAGATAATAATAATAATAATAACAATAATAACGAATTGAAAATATTATTTCGAGAGATATTTAAATTAATAATAAATCGTTGTTTATTTCTGGATTATTTTAAATTGGTGGTAGCTTACGAATGTTTTTCTAGGAACTTCATAGATAGTGATTTAATTTGTTCAATCCTAAGTTACCAGGTGTCCCAAAAGTATTTAAGAAGTTAGAAACGTTTGTTTCGGCGATAAGTGATGAACTGTTGAGACCATTATATGAATCATTAGCATTAATTTGTGATAATATTTTAAATATGGAATTGAATTTTAATTCGAATTCATATTATCAACTGCAATATTTAGCAAGATTTATTGGTGATCAAAAACGTTTAGAAAATCTATCAATTGTTTCTAATTTTCACTTAGATTGTAATTCATTATTATGGGTCATTGGTCAAAAAGAAACATTAAAGAGTCTTCGTTTAAATTCAGTAAATTTTAGTCATTTCAAGGGAAGATCATCACCAATTGGACAATTTATTTCGCTTCAAGAACTTTATATTAATAATTGTTATGGATTGCATAAACCGAATAGTTTTTTTTTTGCTTCATCGTTTACTCAATTAAGTAATTTTCATTTTCATACACATAATGAATATGAGTGGCCTCAAAAATTTATTATAAAAATTCTTGAAACGGCCAATACGAGTTTAAGAAATATTTGTCTAGATTTATATCCCCAAATTGGATTTAATACATTTTCAGCAATTTTAAATTATTGTACAAATATTACTGAATTAACTTTAAAGAATTTAAGTCCTGATCAAGTAATAGAAATATTTATTAATTTTGGTGAATTAAGGAGATTTTCATTTTGTTGTGAAAAAGGATTGGATGCTAATAAATTATTATGTCTAATGGTCTCAAATGTACCAAAATCACTTGAAACTATTGAAATTAGAATAGGGATATTTAGCGCTGATAGTTTAAGAAAATTTTTTCAAGGGTGGTGTTGTAAAGGAGGAGAAGGAGGAGGAAATAAAAAGATTATTGTAAAACGTACAGAACCATTTACATTAAGTGATGAACATATTAAGGTCATTGAAGAATTCGGGGTTCAATTTGAAATAAAAAATAATATTTCAAAATAATATTTTATTATCGATAAATATATTTAGTTATAATATTTGAATAGAATTATGGGTTGAATATAAGAATATTGAAAATATTCAAAATATTATGAACTAAAATCAATTATTTATTAAATTTTAGATTACTGTTAATAATTAGCTAATATTGTTTGATTTCTTTGATATGATTTTATTATTTTATTAATTTTTTTATTAAAATATCATATT